TGCGACTTTCGCCAATTTCTCATAAATTGGTTCGCTGCATTTGTCATCAGAACCAAAACATTCTGCTAGCTCTTCTAAGAGATCGTCTGGATCGCTTTCTTTTTCTTCTGTCACTTCAGACAGGAGTTCCTCAAATTCGTCTTTGGTATTGTCTGCCTCCGACTCGGACTTGCTACAGTCAGGTGCCTGCTTTTTACTTGTTCATGCAGACTGGGGATTATCCAGCGCCTTGCGCTTCTCCCCCTTATTTGTTTGTTCGCCATTCATGCGTTCTTGCATCTTTTGTACAGTTTGTGTAAGACACAACATTGATTTTTGATTTTCTAATAATTGTTTTTGCATTGTGGCAACTAGTGATTCCACAGCTGTCTCAGGTGCGTCACCTTTGAGATCTTTAGCATTACGATCATTGCCATTGACGGCCATTGTTTCTGAGTCTGTGCTCATGTCTTTGGGCGCGTCGCCACTAGACAATTTATATATATAATGTTCAATTAAGAAAGTTCCAAAGATAGTTAATCCTTGTAATCACGAAAAGAATCCAATTAAAAGTTCACACATATTATCTAAACAAAACTATAACACTAAACTAGAACACAAATAAAACTAAAAAATCCAAGAGCGTAAAAATTTTGCTGCCGTACGAATCACGTTTGCTTTATCTATGAATCACGTGGTAAGCTTATCATCTCATTTGAGACTGAGGCACCCCATTGGGAGAAGAAATCATATTTATATGGAAGCATCCTTAGGTAGTGTAGATTCAAGTTTGTTCAAATCATGTTCCCCGGGGGTAGGACGGGGCCACAAAGGATGATCAAATTTTATATAGAAATATATAGGAAAATTCTTTAAAAATAACCTTCTCAAGAAAAGCAAAGCCATGATTGGTCAAGGGACTACTTTTGGATTTAAACTTTTCAATAAAAAACCAATTTTTACTTTTTCCTAGCCACAGTGCTCAGGTGAGTGATGTGGCCCATGGGCCTCTTGTTTTTTTTTTTTTTTTTTTTAAAAATGATCAATCATTAAATATAAATAAATCAGTTGTTAAAAAATTTGCTTCATATTTGAAGTGCTTTAAACCGACCCTTTGATGAAAGTGACCAGTGTTTTTTGCACCTTGGAAGGTTTATTGGTAAAATATAAGAAGGAAGTTATGATTTTGGTGTCACTATTGTTGTTATTTAAGTTTGATTTGATTTTTATATTACGAGTATTATGAAACTGTTATTTTGTTACTGAACGATGGTTAATTTTAATTGTGAACAAATGTACAAAGATGAGGAGTATAATATAGTTGGCTATGTATATTGCCCAATTTTTGAACATATTATGTAATAAATATTAATAACAACCTTTGAATAATTGGAAAGACAATATTATAAATATGATAGCATTTTTGTACATGAGCATACATTTCTGAAAGGAAGAATAAATTATTCAATTGCATTAAAAAAAATATTTTGTTTCATATTCTTGCGAATTATCAGATCAATCTTCCATTATTTAAATACTCTGTCATTATGAAACCTTGTTAATAATTAAGTAAATATTAATTGTACATTTGCACCAATTTTTACACGGCATTTTCACACTAAGAATGCCACGTGCAAAATTATATACAGGAACAATTCTGAACAAATATATGCAAGTGAGTTGTAAATTTGATATGTAATGCATACATTACAAAAATCCATGACAGTGTTCACTAAAATGAAATGTATGGACTCTTATATAAATACTTGGTATATGTGATATGGATATTATGGATGATATTTTTGAGAATGACACAAGTAATGAAATTTTTCAGCATTGAATTGGATTCTTGAACCAGAGCCATGTGAACCTGGTCCACCTGTACCTCTCATTGAAGACCTGTTAACATCACCAGAGTATGTTCATTCTGATACCCCTATGGTATGGTTACAGCATGCATTATCCCTGAATCCATTAAAAGAGCTGCATTGGCAACGAAACAACCCAATGTGGTCGATTGTAAGGAAATATAGCATATCAGCTTCCAACTTTGGTGCAGTTCTCAGTTCTAAGCAAAGGCGGTAAGACGTGTTATTAAATTTTTGTGAAAAAGACTTTTAAAATTACAGTCAAACTTTGTTATCTCAAACCCATTATCTCATATTTCATGGATATGTCACAGTAATTTTGAAGTCCAAACCATTTATAAAAGACTGGGACATTTTACTCTTGATAACTCTTTATGTATTATTCTTGAATCCACGGATATTCCCAACATTTTTCTTGGTCTCATTGAGTTTGAGATAATGAGGTTCGACTGTAATGACTAGATATTTGTACATAAAGATGCAGGAAATATAAGATTAATAACCAAAAATCATATTTTCTTCTCCAGATTGACATTGTCACTGAAGAAACAGCTGATGTCGGCTTACAATCTGGAGTCCATCAAGGCTGTTGCATGGGGTATCACTCATGAAGATGATGCTTTGAGAAAGTATGAAAAGGAATTTGATGCAGCTGTAGAGCAGTCAGGTATACAGCACAAAATAACATTCATTCAACCTCTGTCATGTTAACATTCAATGTGTCAAAACAAATAGCAGGACTTATCCTGGTGACAAACAGAAATCAATTACTGAAGTCTAATTGTAAAAAAAACTAGAAGTATGTCCATAGGACATGAATGCCCCGCCGAGGATATATTAGTAAAGCAACATGAAATTTGTACATGTATAAAATTTGATCAGTTTGGTTCAGGCAGGGCTTATAGTTAGTTGGGAATAAAAATGTAGGTCCAGCATCCAAAGCAAGTCTGGTAGTGTCCATCCCTAGATGCATCATCCACGCAAGTTTGGTTCAGGTAGGGTTTATAGTTACTTGGGAATGAAAATATAGGTCAGATCCAGCATCCGAAGCAAGTCTGGTAGTGTCCATCCCTAGCTGCATCATCCATGCAAGTTTGGTTTAGGTAGGGCTTATAGTTACTTGGGAATGAAAATGTAAGTCAGATCCAGCATCCGAAGCAAATCTGGTAGTGTCCATCCCTAGATGCATCATCCATGCAAGTTTGGTCTAAGTAGGGCTGATAGTTCCTTAGGAATAAATCTGCTCCAAAAACTTCAACCTGGTCACTCATCTGGCAAATGTAGGTCAGATCCAGCATCCGAAGCAAGTCTGGTAGTGTCCATCCTTAGATGCATCATCCAAGCAAGTTTGGTCTAAGTAGGGCTTATAGTTCCTTAAGAATGGACCTGCTCCAAAAACTTTAATTTGGTCACTCATCTGGAAAATGTAGGTCAGATCCAGCATCCGAAGCATGTCCGGTAGTGTTCATCTCTAGATGCATCATCTATGCAAGTTTGTATCAACATGTAAAGTTTGATAACACCATCTTGAATGGTATGTTTAAAACAGCTAAACACTATTTAAGAAAAGTCAGGTCAAGGTCAAAAAATGTTAATGCAGTTGCATAGCTCTCATCAATATCTATCAGCATATGAAGTTTGATGAAAATATCTTGGATAGTTTCTTTGAAACTTAGCTTTGAACAGAGCTAAACACAAAGTGGGACGGAAGGACAGAAGGACGGAAGACGGACATGACAAACACTATATGCCCCGGCCATATTCATGGCGGGGCATAAATATTCAGTTACCAACATATTCCAGAAAATTTGCTTTTTGAAGTGGAAGGATTATAAAAGCTCTACTTAGACTTTGTTTGCATTACAAAATCAATTGTATTATGGTTTGTTTGCATTCAGTAGTATTATAATTTTTTCTGAAAAGGATATGGTTGCATGAATCCAGAGTGTTGGGAGCTTCACCTGATGGCTTAGTTGTTCGACCACCAACATGCAGTGTATTTTATCAAACCCCAGAAGCCAAAGACGCCATTCCTGATATTGTAGAGGTGAAGTGTCCATATACAGCATTGTCTTCAACATTAGCAGATGGGGCACAAAATTTGAAGGATTTTTCATAGGTAAATAACATTAAAAATCTGTATTGTCCAGTACTTTGAAATTAAAAATCTTGGTGAGTAAATGATTTCAAAACATGTATTAATTTACAAGTGCAGCTGTTCAATATGGTATGAAGATATTGAAAAAGGAGGGGATATGTACTGGTATAACACAACTTAAGTGTTTTTTGATTTTTTTTTAGATCTTAAACAAGATACCCTGTGCCTGAAAACCAGTCACCCATACTATCATCAAATTCAAGGCCAGCTACACATATGTAACAAAACATTCTGCGACTTAATTGTGTGGACAAGAGTAGACTGCATTGTGATTAGAATAGTAAAAGACATTGAATGGACAGCAAATGTTCCAAAGCTGATAGATTTCTACATTAACATTTTCATTCCAGCACTGATGGAAAACTGAGTTCTGGTTTGAACTTCTTGACACTTAGTTTTGTACCTCTAGAATTTTCTAACAATGGAAAATGGGTAATCATGTTAAATGTGTTGAATGTTCCTAAGTCTCATAAATGTATGATATGATATGTCACAATCCATCATAAAACTTCTGGCTTATAAGACTATTTTAAATAGCAATGATGATTAATAAAATCTATGTACTACATAAAAAAAGAATATCAAAATTTAGAATCATTTTATTAATGAATTGAAGATGTTCAAAGTGAAAATGTAACATTTTTGTCTTTCTTAATAGATAAATTGTTGAAAACATGAATTTGTTGAGTTGTGCTTTAAAGGTAAATATACTTTAAACTAGAGATTTAAAATTATAAGTAAACCCTCTTCCAAATTATATTGTCAAATGAAGAATGGAATTGCCAAACATTCTTGTAATAAATCCATGCTAACAAAAGGGATTTTCATTTTATGAAGTAAATGTATTACAACATACTACAAAGTTAACAAATATAACCATTGACATTGATAACAAATCAAAATTTGCTTATCCCTTGCACTTTGGTATGAATATCTTCACTGTTTAGTGTATACTGTCACACGCCAATGCAAATTTATAATAAGTACATGTATCTTTAAGTGATTTCTTTCAAAAGTGGAGCTTGCAAGTTTACAAGACAAGAACAGAGTTGAAATATTTTTGTTGAGATTGGTCTGTAAGTAGATGGTATGTGACGGAGAATCTCGTAATTCTTTATCCTCTCGTTGGCTCTTTCCACATGAATAAGTGCTTTAGCAATCTTGTAACACAGTGCTGCTTCTTGAATGGTAAACTGGCCTAGTGTCGATAAAAGAGCTTTTATAATTAAGCAGACACCCTGGGGCAACTGGTCATGAATGGTGAAACCTTTGACCACCAAAATAAGGTCTCCAGCTTTGAACTTTCGTAAAACTTGGCTGTGACGTACAATAGCTACATCAGAAGTAGAACCTGGGTACAGCATGGAGCAAAATGTAAGTGCACCATTTGGAGGCACGCAAGTTACTGCTTTAAAAGTATGGCAACTTTTGTACATACTGTAGGCCATGGCCTGATTATCCATATGTGTTGGGATGTCCTGGGTTGTTTCAATTGCATCCATGGATGCTCTAGCAGAGGAAAAATCCTCAAAAGATTTTGGCAGAGACCCTGAAAAAAAGTTGGAAAAAAATTAATTTGATTATTTGTAATTGTGTAAAAAAATTGTGTTACAGTCAATCTTTCAAGAATACAATAAATTTAACTGCATTAAATTTTTGCAAGTCATTATGATAAATTTTAAAACAAACCTTTGCATTTAAGCTGACTTGGAAAACATTCTACGCTACATTCTACACTACGCCATCAGACAGCATCTTGTATAGGGAAAAGACCACTAATTATTTTCCCATAGAACTCCATACAAACCTTAGGCCCTCTCAGTACTTTACTATGACAATTTCAGAAAAATCTTTAGCATCATTTCAAACTTTGTTCTAAGCCCTAACAAAAAATACTGAAAAAAATACATGGTCCCATGGCGTTTATAGGTCAAAATTGCAGTTATTTTCAACTTTTAGAGATTCGCAGTAAATAACACGCGGCATAAAAAATCAACCCCCACTCCTAAAATCTTCCCTGGCATTTCTATAGTTTCTGTAATATTCCCTCATCCCATGATTTATTTCAAAGGTCATTAATTTTACTTTAAAATGAAAACAATTAAATACCTGATTTCAGCCAATGGCGTAACGCCTACCCATTCAGTATTCAGTTTAATGTTCCATAACAAACAAAGCCATGTGTGCATCCGGGGATTTGGTGCTCTCATTCCTATACTTACATACTTACCTGTCCCAGAATTAGTCAATTGTGGTAATTTCAAAGACTATACACCTACCTGTGAACATGTATGAAATTTGAGTCCTGTGACTTCAGTGTATTGGATACTGTGACCATCTCAAATGATGACACCTTACTGCTACCAGCACAATTCAAAGGAGTGAATGACGTCTGGGCCGGTGATGATATTTGGATATATTGGTGACTGTAATAAATAAAATATTTGTACAATGAATTGTTTTTGTGCTTTAATGTTAATAAAGTGATATTAAGTCAAAATTGAGTCAATAATTTCATAAGGGTGGATTCTACCCAGAATTAGGTAAAAAGCTCCAAAATTGGATAAATCGTAGTTAATTAAGCAAAATTCAAAGGTTTTAAAAAGACTGATATAGAATTTTTTTATGCTTATGCAAAGGATATTATTTAAGACTCTGATATACTAATTGATTCTTATCTAATCCCTCCTATTGCTCAAGTATGTACAAAAAAGTTTCTCCACCCCCCAGTGAAAAACACTTAAAGAAATAGCAGGTGCCCCCTTTTATTTTTGTTTACAATTAATTTAGACAAGTTTAAATCAATCCTTTTGATAACAAATCAAAGTTCAATGTCTGTAGTCTTATACATTACAATCAGAAGCTACTTTTTGAATTTTATTCTAAGAAAAGGAGAATTTAAATAATTTTTTTTAAAAATTAAAGAAAAGCAAAAACTGACTTCAAACCCCAAAATGTACTATACAATAAGAGGCTGGAAAGTTAATAAATAAAAAATTTACCTGCAATGTACAGAAAACTGTCCGACAAAATACATCGGGTGGGTAGGGAGTCTCCATTTTCTTCTTATATAGAGAAAATGCCCCTGCTGATCAGAGACCTAACACTCCCAAATAATAACAAAATATGTTAACATAACAGTCAATCTAAGATGTTCATCCCTCAATGGCAACAAGTTTTTATTACAGTAACTGAAATTGATAGGAAATAGGAAATCACAATTGGAATTCCTTTAAATGTACCTTCTCTTCGTTGTACATGTATTTAATATCGTGGATTGATATTGGCTTCCTTTTACTAGACTCTATTTTTAGGGCAAGCAATTCCTTTTCCAGTTGTATTTCTGTTGAGAGGCGCTGCATTTCTTGAGTACAGTTAAATGTGCAGGATGCTGAGTAGTTGTGCTCTGATATCAACTGAAAATATATTGTAAATCATGTACAGTTAAAAGAACTTTATATATTATTAAAAATTATTGAAAATGTTTCAGTGTTGGTCATTTGTCATCATTGGTGTTTTAAATGAGCTTTACTTTTTCTTGATATTGACATTTTGGTGCTTGTGGAATCTGCAACTGGTCCATCTGTGAAGATGACAGGGACTCCTCACTTTTGAGTTTTTTCCTCCTTTGTAAAATAATTAAACTTGAATTATTTTTTTATTCAGTTGTAAGCTACTCTGTTTATACATGTACCCTTTTAAAGTTTTTTAGTAAAATATTCTCAATTAAACTCCACCCACCCACCATCCAAAAACAAGATGTCGGTCACATTTTGAAAAATAATTTCACCTTTTTGTACATTCAGGATCAGAGAAATCCATGGCCTTTCCTTCATTCCATGCAAAATATGCAGGGTCCCCCTCCTTCTTACCATCCTTAAAGTGGCAGGAGCAGATGTGATCATTCTGATCTCCTGGTTGGCGATCAGCTCGTCTAAAAAATATACATTATACAAAGACTGAGTGAAGGAGAATTAAAAAGCAAACCCTGTTCATTTAGCATGTTATTATCAAATAGCCTAAATGACTTGTTTTTTCATTATTTTTTTTTTAAATGTTTCATTTACTTGCAAGTACAAGATAACCATGTGCATAACATTAACAAACGGTAGCAGTATTTGGTAGTAATAATACGAAATAAAATGTAATAAAAACAGCTGTTAAACAAAAATTAATCTTGCTACAAATTGCACAGTTTTTGTAGTATGTACTCTTCATTATTCTTCTGCTATATTGATTACTACGAGATTTAACTTTTTAGCATGCATGTATATAGCTAAATACTGTATCTGACAATGCAGCATCGTGACATATCGTTACAAGTACCTACAAATTTTGTCAATATATCTACGTTTACTGAGTTTTTTCCTTAGCAGGCCGAAATATCTCCATCATGTCACCAGGAACAACACTCGTGCATCTCGTAATAAGTGCTGCAATAAACAAACTGATGATTGTGTTTTTCCTCACCTGCATGGTTTTCCCGACGCTTCAGCTACTTTCGTTATTTCTAACCAATGAAAATTGTCCTTACTTTTCTGTTGCGTCATGCAATTTTATTGCACGCATCACTGAATTGTAGAACACACATCACAAGATTTCGAATATACATCACAAGATTATCGAACATACATCACAAGATTTCGAATATACATCACAAGATTATAGAATATACATAACAAGATTTCGAATATACATCACAAGATTTCGAACATACATCACAAGATTATAGAATATACATCACAAGATTTCGAATATACATCACAAGATATTGAATATACATCACAAGATTTTGAACATACATCACAAGATATTGAACATACATCACAAGATTATAGAATATACATCACAAGATTTCGAATATACATCACAAGATATTGAATATACATCACAAGATTTTGAACATACATCACAAGATATTGAATATACATCACAAGATTATAGAATATACATCACAAGATTTCGAATATACATCACAAGATTATAGAATATATATCACAAGTTTTAGAATATACATCACAAGATATTGAATATACATCACAAGATTTTGAACATACATCACAAGATTTTGAATATACATCACAAGATTTCGAACATACATCACAAGATTTTGAATATACATCACAAGATTTTGAATATACATCACAAGATTTCGAACATACATCACAAGATTTTGAATATACATCACAAGATTTCGAACATACATCACAAGATTTTGAATATACATCACAAGATTATCGAATATTGCAACGTTTGACATGCCATACTCAAGCGTCTTTTTGATGTCAACTTAAGGGAACATCTGTGAACAATCAGCATGTTTTTTAATAAAATAATTTTGCAAATGACCAATGACATGGTAAGTAAATTTCCGAGTTCCATTTAAAAAACAGATGTCATTGAAATAAAAATCATGGAATCTTATTTATGGTGGGGAATGGTTGTGAGTAAAGTTGAAAAGTCGTATGCTGTTGAATTTGGTAAAATATTGTGATTTCAAATTTTCCAAAAGTTTCTTGGAATTTTTAACTATCCAAATCTTAATTTCACCTCTTCTCAAATATATATATTGTTGCTCACTACTCTTGACGTTCTCCTTCACTACTATTAATATCTTAATGGTGTGTAAAGAAAGGGAATGGTTGAACATTTACTGGAACCAGCTATGTATCTTTGTAAGAATTTTTATGACGTTTATGAAGCTTACGTGTGGACATATGTAAGCTTGTAAGTGATGTAAGTGAGATCGAACAATTGTTTAAGGTTAAAAGTAAATTTAATAAATCAGGAATTTTCCTTGAATCCCAAGGACTGGAAATGAGAGGATTGCATGGATACACATGATTAAGATGGTTGTCGAGGGGATGTTCCCATACGAAACCATTTTATGCAGAAATAATTTGCGTTCCTTTTTGATATTAACCAATGAAGGGCTAGAATACAACATTAAATTATTCTGATGTATTTTTTTTTATTTCAACTAATTATTAAAGTTGCACATATGGTTAAAACATTTTATAGTTAGATTTTTAGGTACATTAAATTATCAACAACAAAAAAGATTATAACTTGTGCACACTTTTAATTAAATCATTAAAAATTTTGTTTATTAATAATTGATATGTATGATTTTGTGTTTTAAGGACAGGCAACTCAAGTGTGAAAATTGACCAACTTAGTGCTGATTTATGAGTTATCATTTATAGGAATGATATATAGACTGCTTCAGTTGGCATTGTTTTGTACACAAAAGTGTAGACCAAAAGAAGGAAAATTTCTTCACTCTGCCTGAAATAACTGGATCAAATGAATGAGAAACGGACTATATTCAGGATTTTTAACTCTCTTTTTTACGATTGTTCTGAAGTTGACAATATAATGTCATGTTCTTTGTGTGTGCATTTTTATACTTCCTTTATAAACATATATATTTCTACAAGTAAATGCAACAGTTAATTATCTTATTTGTGTTACTAAGCACAAAGAAGAAAGACTAAGTACA